TGTAGAAATCACAGACCAAAAAGCCGGTATGTCTTTGTCCTCTGGGCTTTTTCAAGAGCAGAGGGTTGCGCCACGAGTATGAAAACTGCCAGGTTTGTATGAGCGAGGGAGCCCTTGCTATGATGCTTAACGCTTCTCTTCACGAGTTGGTTCCTACAAGTTCGGTTACCAGGAGATAAAGAAAGGGTAAAGAAGTGAATATGTCACCCACATGAGATTCCCACCGGCTCCTCAGCTATTTAGGAAGGCTGACAGCGATCTACTAGCAGTTTGTTTACATAAAAAGCTACTATATATTGGCTTCAATCATTGAAGAAGGAGAGAAAGGTAGAAGTCCACTATGCAGTAAGTAATAGTATCTTAGAAGACTGGATAGTTTGATACGCTTGAATTGACTAGTCCAGCTAAATTCACAGGTTTTATGAAGTTAGCCGTACGAACTCATATAAGAGATGATCGGACGAGAAGTTAGGGATAAGCTGAAAAAGGCCTTAGCTAAATGGCCCTGGCAGTGTTTGACAGATTGGTAGAAAGAATTGCGCAGGTTAGGTCCGTCCGCTTTTGATCTGAGGACAGGTCCCTTGTTAAAATCAGTTTGTGAATCAAGAAGGTATAGAATATTCTCAGAACGGTCCCTATCAGTCCGCCGCAACGAGTCATCCTAACCGATCAAAAGATAGCGAGAAAATTCGGCCGATAAACAGTGGCAATAGAACTATTCTCTTGAAAGAACTCACTCCAAGTCGTTTTTGAGGCTGTGACGAGTCGAGTGATGAGCTGTGGTACTGGACGATCTCGACCGATCAGACTCTGTGGAATCATCAGAAACGCATCGGGGCTCTTGTTTAACTTGAACCTTAAACAACTACTTAGAGATTCGAAAAATGACTTTTTGAAAACCTGACCTCTCGATCAGGTAACTATACCTTTCTCACCTCTACCTTTACGACAGGTTCTGGGGCTGTAGACGAAGTGGCAGACGTTGATGGTGCAGCAGCTCCTGAAGAGGTGGATGAGGTGCCCGGAGCTGAGACTGCAGTTGGAAACCCTGGTGTTAAGACGGAACTTGTCGAGATTCCCACTGTTGGCTGCATAATCGGTGTCTTCGCCACCATGGCATTGAGGATTGCTTGATAGTCACTAAAAAGAGCACTTCATGACCGAAAGATCAGGGAGTTTCCAGGATGCGTCAGATAAAAGTTGTCTGCCATGAAACAATTCTGCTAACTGGTAAACACGCTCCTGCATAGGTATGTACCAGGCAAAGACCAGAGAGCCAGTGCCGGATTGAGAACGTTCAGGGAGGCTGACCCACAGCCCTCACGCGATCTATAGGATCAACTCCGGTTCCACCCTGACTGTGGCCCTTCATTGTTCTACTACTCTCTGACTCCTGTATTCGCAGAGTGAAAGAACTTTTGATGGCCTCTTGAATCCCCCTGGTCACGTCTTTTGTAACTATGTGGGAGTGCGTTTTTAATAAGGACCTATTGACACATTACGCAATGACTGGCTTCCATAAAAGAGGCTGCTGAAAATATGCTCAGGTTTCATTGAGGGGATATGAAGCTCTCCCACGTCGAAAAGCCGCAGCAACGCCCTTCACCGACAGCACCACCCCCAAATGGGTGTCAACCGGTAGCAAAGGCATCCAAACAAAAACATTTAGATAAAACTCGTATAAAATTGCACCAGAGAAGGTGGAGTTGCAGTAAAATGAATGAAACCGGGGAATAATCTGGGAACTATTTTTCTAGATTTTTATTTCGGCTTTTTTCACTTCTGAATCCCGTAGGGGTATCTTGAAGCTGCGGAGCGAGCCTTCAAGTGATAATTTTACCAGCGACGTTTAATCAGCATGGAAGGTGGCTATAAAATCCTTTATTTCTTAAAAATGTGATCTCGCAAGGATCCATAAAAGGTCAACAGAACTAGTGAGACTGTCCTGTACTGTCACATTTTTAAGATGATTCATATTTGGACATCTGGGAGTTTATGGCTTGCGACTCCTATCTCCAAGCGACCTGATTACACATTTTCTCACTACCCTGCTCTATGAAAACCTAAGGAAATATCAAATGCAGAAATGGGCTCCCTAAAGGTCTCGAAACAGCCGAAGAAAAGTCCAAAGGGCCGGTACTGAACAGTTATTTACTGGCAGAGGTATATATCTCTTTTCCAAAAGACTAAACGGCCATTCCAATGTCCTGCTGCTCCTGCTAGACGGTTTGCTGAGCCAATCCATTGTTTCCGATTCTGTGGGAAAGAGATGCACATGGCGCAATACGAAGCGATCTAACCAAATGAAGACTTTGCCATGTCCAGAAGCCGTAGTGTTCACTGAATACGGGGTAGAATAGGGACCTTCTGGGGCTATGAATAAGAGACAAACACAAAATTTACCGGAAGGGTTGAACTTTACTAATCACATTAAGGTTCTCTTTTACTGTGAAAAGCACGTATAGGATTCAATTCATTTGGTACTTTTCCCCCAACTGTTCATAGAGCGATTATGAAGAAAAAGTCAATGATTGATGAGATCGGCAACGTATGGAAAAACCCTTCCACCACGTGATTTACACCCAACGTGGATTTTTTTTGCCAACTTTTCTTACACCTAGGAGTAAAGAGAAATCTCCCATAGGAGTATTTGGAGGCTTCACTAATATCGTCCAGAGCTCCCAGTTACGGAAAAGATTTTCAATGGGTATGGGGGAATTGGTTTATTAAAATTGTTGATGGTCTTCGGAAGAAAGTTCATTAATCGGATTAAATAAGTGAAGACACGAAAGCGGTCGCCGGGAAACGGCAAGCAGCGCTTCTTCCCACGGGCAGTTCAAGTTCAAAGATCTAATCCTTGGTCGAATTCCATCGAGGCAACAATTCTATTC